AGCCTGAGCAGTGGGACAAGGCCAGCGGCTGGGGGCGGGGCCTGACCTGCAGGCAGCAGAGGAGCAGGGGCAGGTGGGCGATGATGACTTTGCTAGACGTCTTCGACTGCAGCTTCTCCGACAGCTTGATGCACAGATTTTCCGCACCTTGAAGGCAACGTCAGAGGAGGGGACAGGTGACAAACAGAGTCCGAGGGGCACAAAATAATTCCCACCAAGCAGCCAAGCGCCAGGGAGTCCACTTGACTCGTGGGGACCTCACGAGCATCACAAAAGCACGCTCCGTAAGGTTTCAGTTTTATCTACAATTTATTAATTCATGTATTTCAGGAGAGGAGGAGGAGGAGGTCTCCTGCCGCCGGATGCTCACGCACAGGCTGGCGGTCTGACCCACCCAGAGGCTCTGCAGAACACTGGTGAGCCTTCCGTCAGGGTTACAGCCAACACCCCTCGGGGCAGTTCTACTCTAACATGCGGCTCCCATAGTCAGAATGGACAGGCTGGCGACAGGCTGGAGATTTCTGACGCAGTGGTGGTGCATTCCTCTCACTTCCTTCCTGTCCAGTGTGTCTTTCTCCCCACATTACCTACCGTCCCCACCCCACTCCCCTAATGGGCTGATTCTCGGGTCACCGGGGGCCCAGCAGGGAACCGCGCAGGGAACCACACAGGGAACACACACGGGGAACCGTGCAGAGAACTGTGCAAGACCCCATCCTTGCAGGGTCCCGTCTGTGCAGGGAACCCATCCGTGTAAGGAACCTGTGTATGCGGAAACTGTCGGTGCAGGGAACCCGTCCGTGCGGGGCCCCGTCCGTGCGGGGCACTCGTCCATGCAGGTCACCCTTCCACACGGGAACCTGTCCATGAAGGGACCCCGTCCATCCAGGGACCCCATCCATCCGAGGCCCTGTCAGCGGCCAGATTTGCAGAAGCAGACTGCCAGGCCTTTCTTGCGAGGTGCCTCTGGGTAGACTCGAAGATCTAACCTCTCAGATGGTAACCAAGCATGTCAGCTGTCTGTACCACCCAGAGAACCCACAAAATTCTAACTCATCAAGTACTCACATGACCACCTCAGTGTAACCTGAGAGACATACTGGCAGCGGGTCCACAGTGAGGGGCACCACCAGAGTGTCTGCAGGCAGGTGTGCTGTGCCTGATTCAATCCCCCTGGGAACATCTGCTGCACTGAGTGACCCCACTGCCCTCTGCCGGCCTACAGCCTCGATGCCCTCCTGAGCCCTGCAAGTGGCAGCCACGCCACAAGCCTTCACACACGCTTCCTGTTCTACCAGTTGCCTAGGAAGCACACGCGCCTGCTACACAAAAGGCTGGAGGTTCAAGTCCACCTGGAAGTGCCCCAGGAGAAAGGCCTGGTGACGTACTTGCAAAAGAACCAGCCATCAAAACAGCCCCAAGATTCATTTCACCCCATCTCAGCCCAACACTAATGGCAGAGTTCAACAGGGCAGAAAACAACCAAGGCTGGCGAGGATGCGGAGAGCCTGTGACTCTCACACACTGCTGGTGGGACTGTGGAAAGCAATATGGCTACCTCTTAAAAAGGGGTGGAATTAGACATACCATTTGAACCAGCCATTCCATTACTAGGTTCAAACCCACCAGCCACTCCTCGGAAGGAAGACTGGGCAACTTACTTCTGTAGAGATACTGCCTCAGAAACTCAAAGAGGGGTTGCTATGAGTCAGGACCAACTCGACAGCAGTGAATTTGGTTTTTATATATAAAAACACACATATATAGAAACCAAAAATTATTAGTGGTCACCAGGGGTAGGAGGGAGGGGAAAAGGGGAAGGTTTTGTTTGCAGAACGCTGAGTTGAGGCTAACGGTGGTGGCACAACACGAAGAATGTCATCAACATCCCTGAGCAGTAAGTGTAGATGTCATTATGTCAGTGAATGTCGTGTGTATGTTTCCACCACAGTAATAATAAAAAAACGACATTCATGAAAGATAAAAGAAAGAGCCACGTAAACCTTAGGGTGCGTAGCCTGGCACTCAGGGTCACGGGGTTGCAGTCCACGCGTCAGCAGCTGGTTTTGCACTCACTCTAGACCAACGTGATTCTCTGACACTGAGCACCCCCGGCCCCAAGAAAGCTTAAAGGAGCAGCAACAAGCTGTGGGAAGAACCTCCAGGTCCTGTGGCCTGGGGTGCATCCCCGTCCCCCCAAGCCTGGTTCACGCAGCTGCAGGACGGGGCCCCGCCCCGCCCCTCCCAGCAGACAGAGCCCGCGTGCTTGGGCTGACGGCAGAGCCCGGAGCTATGCAGGTCCTTTCAGGGCGTCCTGAGTCAGAGAGACAATGGAGCAGCCGGCGCTGATGTGCAGTGCAGTGGCCTGGCCGCCCGGTGCCGGCCCCTCGACTCACCCTGCTCATCCTTCACGGCCCACACCATGAGGTCCACGCAGGCGGCGTTGGCCTGGCAGCGCAGCTTGAGCGGGCTGAGCTCGCTGTGGACGCGCTCTGCGTCGTGTAGAATCTTCTGGAACTCCCCCTGGCTCGTGTTGAACTGCTCTAGCACGAAGTCATGCATGTCCTTCACGAAAGACGTCGGGAGGTCTGCAAACAGGACAGAGGCCGTTAGGGAGGGAAACGGCACTGCTCCGTGCGAAAGCGCAGAGCGAGCCGATGGTCCTTCG